TCACGTAGCTTAATTAGAAATATATGTCTTTGTATACAATAAAATTCTAAAATTTTCAAATTAACGTATTTATATGAATTTATTCGAAAAGGTTTCTAAATATGCAATATTTTTGACTTTGTGTAAATTATTTATCAGAGAAAAGTAAGCAAGTAGCGAGAAACTTTATTGAGTTTTAGTTAAGCTTAGCGTTGCCAACTATTCAAATCTGAACAATTCAATGTTAGGAAATTAATGACAAAACGAATAATATAAGCTAAAAAAAGCGTTGTATTTTTTATTCAATTAAAGATTTCTTTAAAGCATTAATTTAGAAACAACGGTCTTGCTAAATAGAAAATGCTGAGAAATTGTTGATTATTGATATTTTCATTAGAATTTTAACTTTTATTTTTTTATTTTACTCCATAAATAGACTTATTTCTTTTTTATTTTAACGTTTAAATATATTTAAATTATTATTTTTTTCAAATGAGTTTAGAAAAGTAGTTTCATTTCGTTCCAGTTAAGTTTATCTTGAAACCCCTAGAAACAGATGCCTATAAATGAGCCTAAAAACGCTGAGGCTAGCCGATAAAGCTTAAGAAAAATATCGCAAATGTAAGGGCAACTATATAATTTTTTCATTCGTTCGAAAAATCCATAATGGAAATTTTTGCTTCAAAAATAATTGTGTCGAATTTTTACTCTCTTGCGAAAATACACCGTTGTGAGAAATAAAACTTACTAATGTAATTTTTATTACGTTTCAGAAACGAAACTCACAATGGAATGTAAAGAAAATCATTCCTGTTAGCAGTTCACAACAACGTCTGTATTATCGATAACACAAGAGATCGATAGTCCAACAGCAGCATTAGTTAGTTAATGCAAGGCATTACTTTCTTTTTGACATATTTTTTCATCGAGACAGACACGTGGTAGGACGTCAAATATTGCAAAATAGAATTTTTGTGGAAAATAATTAATAATTTTCATATTTCAATTTATTGTAAATAGCCTTGGTGAAATAGTCGCTAAACCATTTCTCCAAAAACTTTAATAAAAATATAATTATTTTAATTTGTTTATTCAACATAATTTTCTTTATCTTGCGAGGAGTACCTTGAGATACTGGTGCATGATATTTTTACAAATATGTAACTATCAAATAATAAAAAAAATTTATTGTTTAACAATTTTTTTTTATCCTCTTGATAACTCTTACTTGATTTATACTTCACAATGAAGAGATTTACTCCAGAACAACGTTAGCAAACCGTGTAAATTTAAAACCAAAATAACGATTCGGTTCTCCCGACGCATCGCGCGCTGCTTACAATATTCGGTCGACGTAATCGCGGGCAGAGTCGGCAGGACGTGCCACCATGGATCGGTTTCACACAGTTATAATCTTGTAAAGACGCCGAACAGTGCGTTTAAGATGATGTGGAGCAGAGCTTTGTAGAAGAATACCCATATGAGTTTAAAGACCATCAATCGAGATTTTTACCGACTGCGATTTTCACAAGAAAATTTTGTTGAGCAATGAAAATCACTCTCCGTGGAATTGTTTGATTTGGTGTCATGAGAATACAATCCATATTTCTACACGGCCATAATGTTACAGTCAACTTTGAACATTATGAAGTTTTGTTTAATGACTGTTTCGTGCCTGAATTGGAGGATGTTGATGTGGATAGTCTTTGGTTTCAACAAGACGACGTTATATGTCATGTAGCCAATGAAATAATAAAGTTATTGAAAAAAAGTTTTATTTCGCGTTGAGAGCCTGAGGAGTGAAGTTGCTAAAATTGGAAATTTTATTCCAGTCAGCCGCGACAGTCTCTGGGATGAAATCATTTTTGTAATATATTGACAAAACCTTAGCATTGTAATAAACTGAAATTCTTGACTATAACAGATACTTATATTCATTTTATTTCTTCTTGAAACCCACACTCTTCTTTTATAACACAAACATGCATAATTTTTACGAGCTTTTTCTTTCTGAATGAGCTCGCAAGCGCAGGCGACGCAGGCGATGTTATCACCTTTTAGCGTCTAACAAATTATTATGGGGAAGTGTGAATTGTAGACAGACCAGATTGTTACTAACTTTTGGCTGTAATTACGGGGCATCTACCCCTGATACATCATCTCCACAATCTAGTAAAAGGACTCAGCAAATGGCGAAATGCTGAAGCATTATCTTTTGCGAGTATCCAGCCTTCAGCCGATTGAGATGTCACATCTTTCACGTTGCTCCCAAGACCAATCTGACGTAGGTGGGCGCACATGGTCGGATGAAAATAAACCAGTTTATCAAATTTAGCATAATATTCGCAAAAATATAGTTATGTGAGGGGGCATACTTTATGGCTTGAGTGCAACCGCTGCGATCTCTCAACCAACAATGTGTCATAACTTTTGGAATTTTTTCATCAAAACAAATTGATACATAACTTTTGAATGTTTTTGCTGAAAAGGATTTAGCAATTGTCGATCATTTTTCTCCATAACCTATATTATTGTCTTCTTAGAATGATTGAAATCTATGTTTTTAAGTTAAAAAGTAACAAATCTGTCAATTATTAAAATTAATTTTAATTATCTAAAATCAACTAAAATGTTTTCTAAAATAAGCTTAAAAAACTTAATCTGCGTTTCTAGCCCAGCAGTGGAAAATGCAGCTTAATCAAGCTTAAGAATCCTAAATTGGCAACACTATTTCCAAAGCAGTGTACGACTCAAATAAGAATGAACCGAATAGCAAATTGCCTACATCGAGTGGTAAAGCAACCGATAAAATATGTCTCATTTAAAATAAAAATATTAAATTTAGAAGAAGTAAGTTGAAAAAAAAAACAACTGAAAATTTTTGAGAGCTAAATTTAATTAAGCAATGAAAGCATTGATTTCACTTTGGAGAAAATATGCCAACGAGAGAATTATTTGGAAAAAAAAAAAACAAAAAAAAATATGAAAGAGAAAACAAAACGAGAAAATAAATTCAAAAGCCAATTTTGAACGGTTATAAATTTATGAAAGAATATAAAAATTTATAGCAGCATAAATTAGACGATAATTAAATTTTCTTTTTGAAAAAATAAAAACTGATAAATTTAAGACAAAATAATTTGGTATAAGCAAAGTTTTAAGTAATTCAATTCAATTCCAATTTAATGAGTCATTGATTTTACAAATCTTACAGACTAAATGTACAATTGATTAAACACTTAAAATTATATGTGTATACAATGCATTAAAAATGGGACCAAAACGAGAACTCGGCAATGCGAAATCAAGATTAAGGCTATTCGAAATTTTATTAAATTCAGAGAGTGTCAAGAATGCTAGCTTGAGTACCCGAGATGCGACCTCGCAGGCATTAGATCCCGTACTCTCTTATTCAACAAACGGGAATCTTTCGGAGAGGTATCTTTTAAGCCAAGATAGAAAATCAGAGTGAATGCCTAGGCACTCTAGCTTTGCTAATAAAATGTTATGCGGGACAGTACCGAAGACTTTGGAAAAAATAAGAGGCGACAACAATTTGGTATCCCTTCTCAAAAGATGCAAAGCAAGGGTGCCTTTAACAGCAAAAAATAGTTTAAACCTAACCAACTTTTGAAGCAACAGGTGATCCAAGTAGGGGAACATTTTTCAATAACCTTTTTTTGACAGATCACGCTGTCATATTATTTTTGTTCAGTAATCTTTGGCATTTTCTCATGGAAAGACTTGCTTGAACAACGTTTACTAACCGTTAAACTTTATTACGAAAATTCACCGTTTTGTCAAGAATGTGTTTCGTGCGCTGCCCTCAACTTATGGTCAACATAATCAGCCTACTGAGCGTACTATTCGCAAGGCCATCACCTATCTTGAGGCTCAGCTATCATTATTGGATAACATTCCACTGATTAGCCCAGGTCCATCACGCAGCGAAGAAAATATAGCGGCCCGTAGCTCATAGAGTACACGAAGACCGTGGAGAGTCGATTCAGCGTCGTTCGCAGCAACTCGGACTGACATACGGAATGACTTTTACGTCCAGATCTCAAATTGAAAGCATACAAAATACAACTTGTGCAATAACTGGAGCCATTCTAGAAACCCAAGCGATATCGCTTTGCTCTATGGACTCTTGAAAAGTTCCAAGATCCGACGTTTTCGAGCCAAATTTTGTTAAACAATGAGGCTCACTACTAGCTCAATGAGTATGTATAAGCAAGCAAAATAGTCGGATTTGTGATGAAGAGCAAACCGAAAGTATTCAAAAGCTGTAATTTCATTCAGAAAAAACAACGGTTTGGTGAGGTTTGTGGATCGTTGGATTTATTGGTCCATATTATTTCAAAAATTGGTACCGGTGAGACCGTAACCGTCAATGGTGATCGTTATCGCGCTATGATAACTAACAATTTGATGCCTGAAGCTGAAGCACATGATCTCGGTGACATTTGGTTTCAAAAATCGATGGAGCAGATAATTTCACGTTTTTGGCCGTTCTACTGGCCATCAAGATCGCATGTTATCACATCGTTAGACTTTCTCCTGTGGGGACATGTAAAGTCTAAAATCTATGCGAACAATCCCGCTTCGATTCAGGCCTTGGAGCAAAACATCACGCGTGTCATTCGCCAGTTAGCAGTCAAAATGCTCGGACGAGTCATCGAAAATTGAACTTAGTGAATGGATCATCTTTAAACAAAATAAATGCCATAGAATGTACCTCGAAGACTAATAAACATTCCATATTTCACAATTTCTGTGTTTCTTTCTCAAAAAAAAAGTAAGTAACTTCAAAATGGATCACCCTTTACATAATAAAGGCAAAACTGTAAAAAACTCAAAAACTCGTTAATTTTATAATGGAAATTTATACAAATTTATATAAATAAAATTATCTATTGTAAAAACAAAATCTACGAAAAATAATAAAAAAAAATTTACAAGGAATAATAAAAAAAAAATTACAAAATAAAATCTCAACTCCTTCATTTAGTTGTCCTCACCTTTCATACGCTTCATGTAAGTCAGAGTCTTGACAATATTCTTCCGCAACATCCACTGCATATTTGTGTTTTTTATGGATATTTTTGTATGTGACACGATCTCAAATCTGCAACTAGCTTCCGTAACAGCAATAACAAACAATGCAAGTAGTTATTTTTAATTAGCGCGAACACACACAATTTTATTACACGCAATATATTTGACTTCGCCACCAGCGTGTATTTTCACGGTTATTTACAGCGTCGTATACGACGACATAAAACAGTCAAATTAATGAGCTATTCACACATATGTATATCCAGTGTGCATACATACACACACACACATGCGCGTCATAATTAGGCAATTCAGTATAAAATATGTACTTAATAAAAAGATTTTTAATGCCGCAGGAAAGTAAATAATTTTAATAAATTTACTAGTGCAAAAGACTGGCATGCACTTCAAACGTGATTGTTTGCCTGTGTATGCTTGACGGAAAACAGGAATAATTACACAAGCAACACTATTTTAACATATACATATGTGGCGCACAAGTATATCGATGTGTGTGTATCGATGCAATCAGACGTGCAACAGGAATCACACGACGAACGTGACAGCAACCAAACAAAAGTAACAATCACGCACCCACGCCACACGCATCTACGTACGCAAGCACTAGTGAGATTTATTTTATCTGACACAAAGACTCATTTAATGCACTGGTCTGTACGACGTACATACATACACTTGATTGGCAACGCAGCACTTGAGCACTCGAGCACTTGACATTGAATGAATGAAACTAAATTGCTGATTGTTGAATGTTGGTTGTTGGCTCTTACTTTTGCTGAATGAAACTAAATGAAAATCGCAAAATAAATTGCATGGCACTAAAAGCGTCAAGGATCGGAGCGACCGTAGAGAACCGATACTACAGCAACGCTAGCACTTTCGATGAGGACTGTGTCGAGGATAATAACCAGAGTGTGGCATAAGCAATGTGTGCGAGTATCAAGCAATGCAACAGCAAGGAAGCGAGCTTCGCTGTCTGTATGTATGTCGTATGAATGGATGTATATATGCACGAATACAACCACAGAATAGTACAACTAATGTGCTACCTACGTGAAAATACATAAATGTGTGCCTACGAATACACACACATATACAAAAAAAAATGTATATAAATCTAAATATATGACAGCCACGTGTAGTGGGTGGTTGGGCGAGATGGAAAGAAGTATTGCCACACAAAAGTTAACGTCAACATAAAGGATTTCTACCACACACCCACATACATACACCAATAATAATCACAACAATGACAGCAGCGCTGCGCAACTGCGCAGTCAACGATTACAATCAGCCACAGGTAGAAGAAAAATTATGGCAAACCAAGGCAGCAAAGGATGTCGGTAGCACAGGCGCCAGTGAGTGTGACGAAAATGCACGAATATAAATATACATATATTTATATGCATAAACTACAAGTATACACATACATACATATATGTATTTACTGTCATAGTTATATGTGTATATGTACAAGCACGAGTAAACGGGAGCAGAGTTATTCGCTTGCCAGCAAAAACTCCGATTGACGTCATCACTATGATGACATACATTTGCGAAAAGGTACATACATACACACATGCATGCAAGCACGATTACATACAAACAAAAAGTGTAATAATAGAAGTAAATATATGCACAATCATATACGAGTACAGTTAAAGCAAATTTCTCCTTTCTTGTTATTCTTATTGCTACCAAGTTTGGTTGTCCTTTTTTTCGCCTTTTTGCTTCCGTTCCTCCTTACCTCGTATTATTTGTTAGTATGTATGTATATTTGAGTGCTTGTGTTGCGCTTTTTTGGGCTTATCTTAGGTAATAATTGGTACCAGGCACAGGCACTGACACAGGCACAGGCACAGGCACATTGACGTCATTTTAGCATAACAAGCAGGCAGGCGGGCAAGCGAGCTTGTTGCTTTGCTCCTCCTTTCCCCGCTTGCTTGCTCCTTTGCTTCGACTAACACCATGCTTTGTGAAAAGAAAAATAAAAATGTGTGCAGGATGGAAATTTTCGGCATATTTTTGGTATCTTAATGTAAATATTTACCTGTGTCGAGGCTTGGCGTAAGCAAAAGCTAAAGAAGATTTGAATGCTATAAATAGCCTGTGAATTCGTGAAGCTAATGGGGGCCACTTTGAGATTTGGTGATGGAAAAATTCGTAAAAGGCATATGGAATTGTAAGCGTAGCCGTGGCGCCCATTTATCATAATTCCATTATTAATGGCATAACTTCCTCTTAACATAGAAATAAAGATCCCATCATTTATCTCAAAAATACTTTGTTTCTCTGAATATTAAAATAACACCACTTATTGCAAGCCCTTTGTCTGTATATTTATAGTGGGCCGCAGATAACCCTTTAGGCTGCTGGATGACTGCAGTATTTTCCGGTCTAAGGGTTTTGTTTTAAGAAAAGCGGCGTACCTCTAATCAATACCAAAGAAATTTATCTTATCTACCCTCTCTTATCCATCACATTATTATATCACAAAATGTCCTACATACTGCCAAGAAGAAGTGTATAGAGTTGCAGCTGCTTAACAATTACTAGTACATATGGAATGTGTTCGGAGCCACGAGGCAAAAAGAAGGATCAATCCTAGTTGGAATGGAAAATACAATTAGTTATTGCAGAACCGCAGTACGTTTTTTGCCATTATTGAAAATGATGCATGCAAGAAGTGTAGGTTAAAGCCTCTCCTGCCCTGCCTGATCAAGAGTACAACTTAAACCACTAAATCTTTCGCAGTTTGGAAGCCCAATAGAAGAATCAAAGATAATGCACAAGGCAATACGAATCTACGCCTAAAATTCTTCTTCAACGATAGCTCATAAACAGTTTCCTTTTTAGATGTTTGGCGCTGTCTTTAAGCTCTCCACCTAATCCTTTCAACGGAAAGTAGGTCGTCCTCTTCCTCAGCTGCCACGAGTGGGTATTGCAATGAAGACTTTCAAAGCTGGAGGAATTTTATCTATTCGGGTCACATAACCTAGCCAGCATATTCTCGGTGTTTTAAATCCCTAAAATGTGTGAAAGGCGACCGTAATAACCGAGCGGCTAACATTTCGTACTGCCATTTTGAAGGTCAGGGTTTGAATCCTGGTTCGACAAATATACAAAATTATTGAAAATTAAATTTTCTAAACTCGCTCGTCCCTTGGCAGGGAATGTCAAGCCCTCCGAGTGTATTTCTGGTATTAAATAAAAGCTCCTCATACTGTAGGTCCCTCCATTTGTTGGAAAAATCTCAAAACGCATACCCACATTGGAGAAGAAGCTCGGCTTGGTTATTAAACGCCAATTATACGTATTGTACATATACTTATATTATATTAACTAAAGACTTGGTGGTCGGCCACGGTTTAAATCCCCTCATCGCATGTCTACATCGTCTACGTTCAGAATACCCAGCACATGGAATGGGCGGCGCAGTCTTAGGCTCCACTTGTTGGGCATGCTTTCGCCCGATCATATTGAGCAAAGAAGTTAATGCATGAACCATGTCAGTTCTTCGCCTCAGTATTAAAATCGTTCAGTCGCTGAGCCGCTCTATTGTTCTTTAAACGAGCAATAACTATTCGAACTTCATTTTAATCGAGTAATGAACGTCCATACCATTTAGGATTCATGTTCACCATCTCGGGGTGTTTCACTTTCGCTGCCATTTAACGGGCTGTAAAAGTATGTCTTTCATAAAATTAGTACGCTCTGGACTAACGCTTACCTTTTTCGTTCCTAGATAAGTATACTCCGAGCCTAAATCTTTCTTTATGTCGCCGTCTCTCTTTATAGAATTTTTGAGGTTTACTCCCTTTGTTAGCTTTCTTTTTTGTCTTCATACTCTGCCGAGAGGCGTACGCATTTTGAAAAATTAATTTTATATCATTATCATTTGGGATGTGGCTCTGGATGTTGCTCTGCAGCCACTAGAACCACTCCAGTACTGTAGAATAATACATAGACCCAACAAGCTTATGATAAAAAGCTATGGTTACAAGTCTTATTTAGGAAAGCTCCAATTCTCTTGACAAACACAATCTATTCTCATACCTAAGAATCTTTTTTTGTTTCGTAGTGTAGTGAAAAGCTTTCCTCAAAATCATATGGCTGCTATACGTACAAAATTAAAGCGCAAATTTTCTGTAGGACAGAATATTAAAAAAAAAAATTATATAAAATTAATTTTTTCTGGAAACGAATATCCCACCGTAAAAAAGTTAACTACCAAAAATAAACTTCCAATTTTAGCTCCGGCCGTATAATTGAGAATTGCATGTGTGGCTACATAAAATGTTATTCATGTGTAGAACAATATTACGGTTATTATCATAAGTACATGCGTAGCTGGTTATTTATTTATTTTTATACAAAAGTACTGTTGATAAAGTTGAGGTGGCGAATAATGACCTCTAATTGAGTTGTTGAGCGCATGTGTAGGTGTTTCTTTTAAAGGAATATGATTACATTCATAAGGAGGTGCTTTGTCGAAATGATTACTAAAGAAAATAAGAAGCAGATTGGATGCTGTAAATATTTGTGAGTTTATGAAGAGATTATAAGCGCGAAAAAAATTTAAAAAAATCTTCTAAAATTTGAATAATTTTTTTTATAAATATATTGTATAGTATTCATATAAAATGGTTTTAAATAGAATATAAATTAAAGAAGCTTATAAGATAATAAAGTTTTTTTTTTTTACCTTCCATCACTTCGTTCATAGCAGGAAAGCAGAACGTAAATATCAAAGGCAATAACAAAAAAAAAACCTTTTAAAATATTATTTAGAAATAAAATCATGCAACTACATACATACATACATACGTGATGCAATGCAAATTCAATAATAAATATTACAAGCATATATATATAGTAGCATATAAAATATGTTTATTGGATTATATAGAAATTTACATAAAGTGCGACGACGTAAATCACAGCATGGAATATGACAAAAACTGCAGCTGTCACTTCCATGCGCTCGTAATTTTGACTAGTGACAGTCCCCATATACGTGTAGTATTATAAAATAAGTGCGCTTAATAAATATTTACGTATTTATTATATATCAGAAATGTGCATACATATTATACATATGTATGTATATATGTATATACATGTGAAACATTGTCATCGGGACATAAGCCACCTTCAAATGTTCAGATCTCGCGCTTAGCTTGTGTGGCATGTACATATATACGAGTATTCTTATTCATACGTGCATGCATGCATGTACATATATGTGGGCGTAAGTGTTATTATGCATGTTTATAAATGATATTGAGTATTAATATCAAATAAATATGTCAATATATATGTAAATATGTATGTTTGTGCACTTATTTATTTCATTTGAATTTCTGTTTTTATTTATTTTTATTTTTTTTTTATTTTTTTTCCAATCAATATATACTTTTGTACTTATACACACATGTTTGTCTGTATATGTGCACCACTCGTGTGCCTTGGCAACGCTAAAAATAACTACTAATGAAAGAAAAAGGAAAGCGCACATCCTGTCGTTACATCGCTGTCAAACGTTTGGCTGCCTGTGAAGCGAGCGACTGTGTTTTGTTGATGGATGTTATTTATTTTAGAAAGAGCAATATAACTAGTTACATGTAATACAGTTATATTTATGTGACTGTTTTTAAAAAAATGTTCCTTTTGTAACTAGTTGAGAACTAGTTTAAACAAGTTTGTGTAAAAAATATTAAGCAAAAAGTTAAACTGCATAATTTTTAGCTTGATATGAAAACTGTGATATAGTTACGCGTAAGACAGTTATAATTATGTGATTATTTAATAAAAAAAAGCTGTTCCTTTTGTAACTAGTAGAGGACTAGTTTAAACAAGTTTGTGTAAGAAATATTAAGCAAAAAGTTAAACTGCATAATTTTTAGCTTGATAAGAAAACTGTGATATAGTTACGCGTAAGACAGTTATAATTATGTGATTATTTAATAAAA